CCGCTGTTAGTATAGGAATAGCTCTGACCATGCCCTTTGCGTACTGCGCATGAGAATTTGCCTGCGAAATATAGCACGTGCCTTTGCACATGTGTGTTGCCATCTGAAGAGTATCATCCAGTGAAGTCGAAACTTGAGCACTCACTGCACCGAGACCAGTCTATCCATGAAGGAGCTCATGCTCTTACTACAGACTCGCTATTACAATCACCAACTGTACAACTCGGAACTCACTAATTTCATCCAATCTCTCAGCTCTTCTTCCCTTGCTCCATATGTCTCCAATCCACCCTCCTTCATCGTGTAGCCCGCCATTTCAGTGCCAAACCCATTTATAAACTTCAATCCATACCCCTACTCCTAAATGTCAGCATACCCATTACGCCTACATGCTTTCAAGGCCCCCCTTCCTCTCTCATTCACATCGTATCTAAGTTAGATAAAAGATAGCTACACAAGACCCAAATCAGAATAAAAATCCACCTCCGAATCCATCCCACAAGTAAAAAAAACACTTAGTACACCCACATCTCAACATACTCATAAGTGCACCACCACACATCCCAAGACCTCCTTTCCCTTACATATATCTCCAACCTAGCATATTAACCGAGCCTTTCTGTCTCTCCCTCTACACTCTCAACTCACCTTTTCCCCCACGAAAACACCGCCCGCCAAACGACCCACCCATCACGCACACACACACACACCTTCAAAAACACCCAGCTTATTGCGCGGTGTAAACCTGCGCTGAAACAGCATTTGGAATCCGCTAAATAGTTTCCCTAGCATCGTGGATGTACCTATCACCCCACTCCATTACCCACCCACTCCACTCATTCAACTCAACACAACACAACTCCCACTCCACTCAACTCACCTCCACTCAACACCCCCATTTTCTCCTCACCGCCGCATCCCAACACAATTTCACACAGCAAACTTGCAAGAAAAAACGTATGTACATAGGGATACATTATCCATCAACGCTACTTACCTCAAACGAAGGGGGGGGGGGGAATCTACATTGCATACTCGCTGCGTGGTATACTCTTCTGTTTCTGTTTCTGTTTCTATACAGTCCAGTCCAGTCCAGTCCGGTGCAGTCCGATACAAGGACCTCTTATCCTTTATGCTTCATCCGTGGTACGTACGTGTATGCGTATGTGTATGTCGCAACCTCGATGACGGCGACGGTGGTGGTGTTATACAAAACAGCGTGCGGTGCGGGGGTTTTTTTTTGTTTTGTTTTGTCGTTGAATGGTTTGCTCGGGCGTCCAAGTAGCCATGTGCATTCACCCGAGCCCCGAACCCGCAAACCCGGAATCTCTTCAAAGCCCGAAGTGGAAAACTCGAAAAATCGGACATGTGCAGAAATGTGAAAAGCATGTTGTTGCGCTGTTTTCCTCTTCGCCCATTTCAAGTTTATCCTGGATTCTTCCCAATTTCCGCTCCTTGGGAAAAACATTCCCGGTTACCGTACCGTACTTTAGCATAGCATAGCCTCCCTTCCTTGCCTCTCCTCCCCCATATAACAGTTACAAAAACGCAGGCGTATCCTCCCTGACCAGCACCAATCCGCCCCTCAATTTCTCCGCACTACCCATAACCCCCTCACCCAGCTCTTGAATCTCACTCTGACCCCTCAACCCAATCCCGCTCTTTCGTTCGCGTAGAAACTCATCTGCCAGCCGATGGCCAGGCGTGACGCTAGCCCTACCCTGCAGCGTGTCCGCGGCACCAGCCTCGTTGTGAGGCGGAAGTGTATGCGGATCGCGAGCGTAAGATCTGGGTCTGCGTAGTGGTGATTCTGGGGTCGCGTTTATACCCGGATTGTTGTACTGAAGTGCCGCCGTAGTGGTAGTCGTTGTTGTTGTATTGCAAAGATCAAATGCGCTTTTAGGGCGGATAACAGCACGGATGCGGGGGCGTGTTGGTGTTAACCTCGTCGGAGTAGTAGTAGTCGTGGTGGCGGAGGGACTTTTGCGTTGTGGAGAGGAGCTTGCGAAGTGGCGGCGTGGCGAGCAGTGTTGCAGCGGCTGAGAGGGAACTAAGGGCGATGGGAAGTGTGGTGTTGGAGTTGAGTATTGTTTTGTGCTGCGAAGGGATTGCGGCGTGATGTTCTCTTTTCTGTGGTGTTGTGCATCACTTCGCTTTGGTGCTGCGGTGCTGGGAATGTGCTGTGAGGACTCGTTTGGTGCTGCGGTGCTGAGGTTTGCACGCCCGACCGAAGGCTTGGAAGGTTTCAGGGATGGGAGCGAGGATGTGCTGTTGGCTACTGACTTGGAATAAAGAGACACAAGGCTGTTGCTGCTGGGGTGTTGGTCGGTGTTCGCCAAAGGGAAGCGCTCATTCATTGCGGGTGGCTTTGATGTCTCGGAGCCTACAAGTGACTGTGAGGCGTGAACTCCGGGTATTGAAAGCCGCCTATTTCCACTGGCAAACGAGGCTGGTCGTGATTTCGACGTTGGGCATACATTGATCCCAGAGCCAGAATCGCGCTTGGACTCATTTGCGTTGGAAGCAGTGGGGTGCGAGTCTTGCTCCTGGAATTTACCAGTCACCTCCCTATTATCGCCCTCACAATCCTTCACCTCACCCAGATGCTCATTTCGGTAAGATGTCCTAGGACCCAACGCCTCATCATCGTATTGATCCAAAGAACCTCGCAAAACCACCGTCGTATCCTCATGTTCAGTATGCGACGTACGCACGGAGCCCGATCGTTTTGTCCTGGAAATATTTGCAAAATGTTCGTTTATGCTGAGATCCTCTTGACTATTCAGCTCCATGCCAGAGATCTCATGCGACAACCAAGCCCTCCAGTCGCGACTGGTACGAGCTGGCGCCTCACGCTGAGGCGATGGAGTTCCCACAACGTAGCTCCTGACAGATTGAGACGTGAGAATGACTGCTGATCCTGCGTGGTGTGCTTGTTCAAACTGGCCAGTACCATCAAAAGATATGATACTATCGTTATGATCGATGCTAATACCGTCTGTGTTTCTGGAATAGATACTGGGGGACATTGGTGTAATCACGTCCTTCGAGCCTGGTGAGCGACAAGGGTTTGGTGATTTCGCGTGTTTGCGTGAGTCCTGGCCACTGATATCATAAACATGCTGTCCTGATCCGTCCATCTCCGCACTTTCCTCCAGAATCTCGTGAGACTCTTCAGCCAATGTTGTAACGTCACAAGACTTGTCAGTCTCGCGTGGAAACTGAGGATTCTCAGGCTGCTCGAGAGGATTCTTCCACCGGTCTCTAGACTTATCCATTCGTTTCTCAATCTGCGAGGCCGATGGTGCGAATATCTGAGTGACATATTTCCGTTTACCAACATGCTCTCCCTCACTTCCTTCCGTCTCTGGCGTAGAGTTTGAATGAGGTGCAAGGTCGTTTCTATGGCCGCGCTCAGGCGCACAATTTCTGATATCAGGGTCGGGCGACGAGGGTTGTCCAGCAGGCGTTACAGTGCGGATAGTTGATCGAATCGCCCTTCCAAGAGACCTGATCGTGCTAGTCTTGCTCTGTGCACTCTGGGCCGTTGGAGGTCGGCGTGACGGCGGACGAAAGTCAAGCTCGATGCTACTACGAATATGGCTGCCACTAGAATGCAGGTCTCGAGTCTGAGATTGCAGCTTGGTTTTCCTAGACTCGAACACATCGCTTTCCGCGCCGGGTGTTCGTTTCGTGGGACTTGCCGATTCTTCTGAAGACCTGGTTGTACCAATCTCTTTCATCAAGGCAGAAAAGACTCTTTTGGGGTCTATGGGTGTTGAGTTTTCTTCCTCAAGGCTTTGCATGGGCATAGGGTCGCGAAAAGATGAGAGTGGTGGAAGAGGCAGGGACTTTCTCCTTGTAGCAGTCACTGAGGTGATCTGATCAGCCTCACTTCCGATGCTATCTTTGGACTCGTGTATGACCGTCATTCGTTTGATAGCGCGTTGAGCCAGTGTGTCAGTCGTTGTGGTTGTACCCCAGCTCGTCATACGAGATGCTGGCACGTGTGGAGCGTTGGCTTCACTGTGTAGACTGCGCCCACTGCGCCCGCTTCCGGCACTGTTACTTCGAGATCCCGAACGTAGACAAGCAGGATGAACGCCCTCATGCGAAGGCGTGCGTTCACGTACGCGTTGTAACGTTGCCTCGTCTGGACATGGTATAGATGTTGCATCATTGTCACTTGGTGGACGGACGTGAGAAGTACTGAAGTAGTCGCGACTAGCTGCAATATGCTGCACGGGAAGATTGGTTGGTTTGATGGATGTACGTCGAAAGACTTTCATAATCTTATTCTTCAACGAGCCAGAGAAGGAACGCCTCTCCTTCAGCTCTTGTGGCGGCATGAATTCGCTGAGAGTGATATCCGTAGTCGAATCGTCGGGCCCCTGTCCATCAGACACAGGAAACGCCTGTGTGTCAGTGACACTCCGTCTCGCCTTCTCTTTTCCTTTATCCTGTCTCTTCTTGAAAGGCGCCAGGAATATGGAAGGCTTGGGCTTGACCGACTTTTGCTGGAATTCCTGGAGGTAATCGTCACGCGCCTGGTCAAGTGTCACGCCGGCTGCAACAGTAACCGGTATACGCGGAGCAGCCAGCGGTGATGGACGGAGTGATCGAGGAAGTGGATGTATAGGCGAAGGCTCTGACACTGGACTTGTACTGGCTGAGGACGGAGTGGCCAAATACTTTGCCGGTGGTCTCGCTATAGGTGACCCGGTTTGTATGCTGCTTGCGTAGTACATGGAGCGTGCCTTTCTAATTTGTTGTGAGGTCACCGAGGATGCAGCGCTCGATCGAGGGTTCTTGGGCTGGGAGCTAGGCCTGACATTCTCGTTGAACGTTACCGACGGCTGTGCTGATAACTGGCGTTGTACTGACAGCGATCCGCCGATAGTCGGTTTGTTATGCTCCATGTTGACGGTCGAGGCTTGCGATAGGCGCTGGCTACTCTTGCTATGCTCCATCTTTGGTCGCTGCATGGCTCGAAAGCTGCCTTCGCGTGGCGGAAAATGACTGCCCTGGGCTGTGAGAGACTTGCGGCTGGCATTACTCTTCGATCTCGAGACGTCAGAGCTATATCTGGCAGTACGATCCGACGCATCTTGAACCTGTGCTCTTGAGAAAGCCGCTGTCGCAGCAGCCACGGCCTGCTGCCTGACAGCCTCCAAGTCGATCGACTCGATGGTGGAAACGGGTCGTTTGTGGACTGTTGATGCCGACTTGGAGCGCCGGAGACGGGCACCCGCGTCGCTGTTTGCGCGAGCCAGCATGTCGGTGACGGGATAAATCTGCTTACTGCTGATTTTCAAGGGGTAAGACGGTGAATTGCAACCTAGCAAAGCAGTGCTAAAGACGTGTTGGCAACATGTAGCAGAAACAGCGGTAATGAAGCACGGCTGGCGTATGGTATCGGAGACAAGGTGCAGTGGTACAAAAGTCTGAACATAGCAGCTGACCCATTGCCAGTAGCAGCTACTGTTTGGCCAAAGAGCCTGAGATAAGGGAGAGAGCTATGAGTGTAGGAAGCAAGGGACATGGAGCGCAATCGGAAAGTCTTCTATTCGGCAACATGCCACTTGCCCTCGTTAAGTCGGTCACCGGCGCGTTATCATCCATCTTCCTCTCGCCCAAAAGAAAATATAGACCCGGCTAGTAAATATCTAGATCAAACAACGCATTCTAAACAGTCCTCACAAAGTCTCTTTCTGGCCAGTTGCCTACTAGCGCAGCTGCAACGAGCCACCCCCTTCGCCATAGAACAAGTCTTCGTCGTCACCACGCACCTCTACATAACCAGTCTTCTGGTCCTTCACGTCGATAGAGAATGTTACAAAGGTCATGAAGAAATACACGAGAGAAGAGCCCAAAAATGGCAGACCCAGCCACATGCCACCAAAGCCTATGCCCACCTGAAATAATTCATTCAGCAGCGGTCCGCCAATCATTGCGCCAAAGCTCTCGGCCATAGCAATGGTACTCATCAATTTGCCTATGTTGGGACTTGACTGGCCCCCGATGACATGGATAGAGATGGAGCGCATAGCTGCAGTGTAGCCAGAGCCCATGTTGTATATCAGAAGACCAATGATCAGTAGTCCAGGATGCGCAGCGATGCCCATGGCAAAAAGCGCAATGGTTGTAAGTGTGATGGAACCACATGCAATCCACATGTCAGCTCGGTGCGCTGGAAAGTGTAGCTTTTTCAAAAGAAGAAAGTTGATCAGTGGAAGGACAACGCTGACGGATCCGAGGTTAGCTGCTGCCCGGAACGACAGCAAGTATGCTGCTTTCTTGATTTCCCAACCGTAGCGCTTCGACGCATACCGCACCAAAAGGGAAATGGACTGTCTCCCAAGCCTGTTTGCCAAGAACGTAAAGACGACCAGGGCGAGCGTCCAATCATCTCTCAAAAACTGAATCGCCCCCTGAAAGTTGTGTAATTGCGATCGCATTGAAAACATACCCCCCATTTGTTGCATCTCAATGTTTTGGCCATCGGTGTCTTTAGGTTCTGGCAAGTCGCGCATGTGCAGAGTCTCTGGGATAAATAGCGACACAAAGACACCGACCACCTGAAACCCAAAAGCCAGTAGCAGGGGCAGCCAATCTCCATACTCCATGAGCCACGATGCCATCATGGGTGCAACCATCTCAGCCAGCAAGATACATGCAGTCAAGTATAAAAAGAGTGTAGTGCGCTTCTCCGCAGGCGCGATATCGGAAATCATGGTGAGCCCGATGGCGATGGCGACAAAAGGGCCGCCTCCAATTATGGTAAATGCGCTGGAGAACCAGGTCAGTTCCAGGGGAAGGGATGTGAAGTAGCCTGTGTACACCTGTTAGCGCAATGTCCAATCTATTTCCCCCGAGGGCTGCTGACATATTAACAGGGACCAAGCAAAGTTGAGCACAATGCCCACCAAACTCGCTGTAAAGATCCATTTCCTGCCTATCTTATCAGCCAAAGTCCCATACGGAATGGCCAATAAGAGGCCAGGCAGCGCCATGAACATTTCTGCCCATCCCATGATGCTGGCTAGTCTCTGCTGCACTATGTCGACCTTGCACAGCTTCTCTGGTATAGTTCCGTCAGCCTCTATCACCGAGGGATCCTGCTCGAGGTAGTATTTGAGACACAGGTTTGCTTCGAAGATGCGCGTTTGAGGCGGGTCGGCGAGGTACGCGCCTATGTCGATGAACGTGATGAGGGCGAAGACGAGGCCTATGAGCAGGAGCCATGGTTTCTTTTTCGCGGGGCGCAGCGGAGCATCTGGAGGGTCAGTGTGTGGTAGGAAGGCCTCTCCTTCCTCCGCAGAGTTTCTTCGTGGGTTTGGCGATACAGTCATTTCAATCGCTTGTCGGTTGTCGAGTAGGGAGAGTGATGGCGCGTGGGTGTCGGATAGGGATGCGCATGCGCCGAGAGCTGAGGAGTTACGCGTAAACGGTTATGAAAGGCACTACCAACGCGCTGGGCAACATCTGCATATGTGGATTAGCAAAAGGGTCCAGCCGAGGCCATCGTAGCAGGAGGGCCTGTGAGGTGAACAAGCCGTATTATGCATACAACCGTCGAGACGGTGAAACTGCAAGGCTCGCAACAGTGTCTCGGCACGTCCCGGACGCCAGGTGCCGCCGAAGCTGAAGTCGGGATTACGTGAGCACTTATTGGGCATTCCCTACTTTCCACTATTTCTACAAAAGAAGTTGCTGGGATGACTAACGTTTTATACTAACGTGTTCCACCAGTCATCCGGCCACACCAGTCATCCGGCCACCCCACCAAACTTGACCTAACCCTCTACACAACAACAGCTATGACGCGACAACAACGCTCTCTATCGCCTCAAAGGCAAGGTAGACTTTGTCTTGCATCTCAATCAATTCAAAGACATCAAATTAAGAGTCAACGTAAAGCTGCTCAGCTATTTAATGTTCCTCGTTCAACGCTTTATGACCGCCTTCAAGGTAGACAACCTCAAGCTACTGCTAACGCTAGAAAAAGAAAGCTACTACCTATTGAAGAGCAGTCTCTCGTACAATGGATCCTAGACCTTGACCGGCGCGGTTTTCCGCCCCATATTATCGATGTGCGACGAATGGCAGACGCTCTACTCGCTGCGCGCGGCCAAGATCCACCTCCACCACCTGTTGGCAAGAACTGGGTGTCGCGCTTTGTCCAGAGCCAGCCAGAGCTCCAGACAA